CTTTTTCCTCAATAGCAGATCTCTGAGTTAAATTTATATTGCTTTATAATAAAAACAAATACTCCCTGCCCACACACACAACCACTAGGTAATGTTGTTTAAGGAAAAAAAAAAAAAGCAATTATTTGCTAAGTTTAAATGAAGGTCTTTGCATAGAAAACAATGGGAGAATGGTATTTAAACTCTTCCATGTAAGATCTCTGGGGAAAAGAAAGAAAAACTCAATACTATTGCATTGAGTGATTTTTCTCCATCTCCTGCCAGGAATCACCATCACTTTTCTGGCCCTTGGCACGAAGAGGTCAATAATCAACCACCTGCATCCCTTTTTTCTGTGCCCAGAACAGTGACAAAGCCACAATATTAAAAAAAACAGTTTAATAAAGTCAAATACAACCACCCAGGGCAGCTGGACAATCTCCACTGCTCTAAGAACAAGCTTAACAGATCCATCAGGAAGGGTTTCAGTGTACTTTAGCATGCCTTGTGGAGAAGGATGGACTAGGTGGCCTCAGCAAAATCCCTTCCAGAACTATTTTCAATCATCTAGAAATAGAGGATCAGACAGAAACATATTCCAGCAGTGAGAAATCTGTCTTGGCAGAGGATTTCAACTGTGCTCTTCCTTGACATTACTCTAATATATTTCTCAGAGGCAAGACCATCTGGCCCAGAGCTGATGGTGTGGAGCCCTGGTAAAGCTCAGGTCTGCATCTCTCTCACACCAGCTATCAACTCCTATTTACCACTAAAATCTGAGTTCAAGCATTTAAAAGTTCATAAAACCCCAATAAAAAACCATAAAAAACCCATAAAACCCCAAACATGATTGCCTTGCCTGTCCCTAAAGTCAGTAAGTGTCCCCAAAAGTCATTCAAAAATCAAAATCCTGATTTACTGCAGGAATGAAAAAATCAAGAGGAATTAACTCTGATGTCCTGAGAGGTGGTTGAACAGGGGGGCTGAGGAAACAGAGCTGTGGCTCACAGGTATTCAGACTCTGGGATCCTCAGCAGTGATGGCACAAAGGGATTAACAAATCCTCTGAGTTAGGAACACAATTTTCCCAAATGAAAAGCAGCTCCTTCAGCCTGGCATGAGGGAGCTGGAGCATAAAACCTGCTGGATCCCTGATGAGCCTTGATAGCTCATCCTACCAACTTGAGATTCCCCTCCAGGCTCCCAGCACGGTCAGCACTGCACTCCTGCCTGCTCTCAGCCTGCAACTTGCCCTTTCTGTGCTCTGAAAGCAGATCAGGAGGTTTAAATCTAATCTCTGCTGACATGCCTTTGGCCAGGCAGCCATGTGGGAGCAGAACAAAGTGAGGAGGAGATCTTGCCTTCCTCACTCAACCAAGGTTTGAGGGGCAGCACATCCATCAGTTCCCCTCCAGGTCTGTGCATTTTACAGGTCCAGATGTTTTCTTTGTGCTCTGGGGACTCTGGAGAATCCAAGAGCACTCTGCAGATGGGAAATGGAGCCTGAGGTACACGTGGGATTGGTGGCAGAGCCAGGAATAAAGCTCACACATCCCAGCTCCAAGTTCTGCCCTCCACAGCCTGGTCACAGGAAAAGAAGGAAGTTTCAACCCCTGATCCAGCATTCATCCCTAATTCCCTTGGGGTTTCATCAGGGAATGTGGCTCAAGGTCCAAGATCAATCAGCTGAATATCCTGCCAGTACATCAATGAAACTTCACTGATTCCATGTTCCAGTCTAAATGCTGAAGGACTTTTTCTGTGTTCTTGAAAATTTCAAACACTACTACAGAGGGAAAAGAAATATTTAAATTCTGCAAATCTCCCACAAAACAACAGACTGCACTTTGTTTAAGGAGAATTCAATGATTTCTCTCCCATCAGAGCTTCCAGGGAGAGTTATGGAAAGGTGAGAGAACACTATATTACAATTCTGGCCCCTCCAAAAACATGCTTGAGAAGCCATGAACTAGAATCCCTGAAAAACAGCCAGAACTCAAAGAGGACTCTCCGTTCTCTCCCTGGAAAACAACAACTGAAGGGAAAGGGCAGGACCAGAGCTGCTGTGGCACGGTGACATTCAGCACAGCCCTGAGTCCTGCCTGAGCCCAGAGCTCTGCTGGAGCAAGATGATGAGCAAGGCAAACAGATTTGATGGGAACAGGCAGGGACAACACAACCTCAGAGAGCTGGACTAGGCTGGAGAAAGCCTTCAGCTCCAGAGGGACCAGCAGGACCAGCCTCTGTGAGCAGCAAAATCAAACCTGCACAAACACAAGGCAGGAGATGAGCTCGTCTCTGAGGCAGCAGCCACAGCTCTGAGCATTCTGTGCTCCTGGAGCCACCCACTTCTACATCAAGGCAGCTGAAAAAGCCATGGACATCCCTCTTCCCAAGAAAAAGGGAAGGAGACAACTGCAACCACCACACTTCCAGCACTCCCACAGTATTTTGCAGTTTCCCAGACATCTGATGAAGTTTCAGTGGAAAAGGCATCCCAGTTCTTCCAAACAATCCCAGCAGTGCCCATTGCAGACCAAAGCAGGAGGATAACAGATTCTTCACACACGAAATTTGGCACAGGATTTTCACAGCCACAGAGCTCCAAACATGCACTCAAAATAAATGTCAAAACATATGATGCTATACAGCAAAATCAGAATAAGCAAAGAATTGTGCTGAGCCAAGTATCACACAAATATGAAGCTCCTTCTCATGGCAGTGACTCACAGAGCTGTGCAAAGAGGAAGGCATGGGAAACACATTCACCTTTGTGAAGCCTAAAAAGGAAATAATTCTTCAATAAAACAGAGCCTGTGGTGATGCTGTTAAATGACAGACTGTTAATAATGCTGCAGGCACCCTAAAGAACTCCTGCTCTTCCAGCACAGAATTAAATCAGTCTGAAAAACAGGCATAAGGTACTGAGGATACACCAGTGGTGGAGCTGAGACTACACAGAGTTACCTGATACCCAACTACTGCCCTGTAAGTCAAAAAAGAACTTTTTAAAGGAGCCACCATGAGTCCAAAACATGTCACCTGCTCTAGACACAAACCTAGACACCTACTACTGAGAGCAGAAAGCAAAGCTCAAAAGAGGGCAAGAACCTCTCCAGCTCTGCCAAGGCTGTGGAAGCTTCCCCTTTGTCATCTCCATTATCTACTTGTCACACAGCGTCATTCCCACCATAAAAATGTGGGATGTGGGTTATTTACAGGAGCTGCATCCCTTGACAATTCACTCGTCCAGATCCTGAAACCATGAATGAAAAATTCAACAGGTAATCAAGCACGGAGGAAGGTCCTAGAAGGATGAACAACTGCATCATTCTTCATAGCAAGTTTCAGCAAACCAGGGAGTTGCTAAACAGAGGAGAATTAAAAATGGTATCTCATTTGAGCCAAATACACTCCTCCTACAGCAACAGAGAAGTGCAGAGGATTTCATGAGGCTCTTAGCCAAAAAAAGAGAGAAGGTTCAGCAGTAAAGCCAAGCTCAAGTGACCTCCATGAAGGTGAGCCAGGGCTCACTTGCTTCTCAGCGAGGTAGAAATCAGAATTTGTGACATTCAGAAAGTAATTCCGCAGCTGAGCATGGGCAGTGAAATGAGAGCAAACACTTTCAGTGCCTCCAGTGCAGCTGCACCAACTTCTCTGGGTTTATTCCGGGTTTCGTCTGGCCTTCATTCAGCCAGACTGGAAATACAGAAACACGGCAGAGAAAAAGCCACACGTGCCTCAGCTCCGAGCTTCCTTCCTCACACGCTCCAGGGAAAACGAAATTCCCGGCAGGAATCACCGCCAGCCCAGCCAGCCCGGCCTTACCTGCAGTACCTGTCGGGGAACAGGAGACTGCTCACACCCTCCAGGGCAGCCGGGAAACACCGACGGGGCTGCAGCAGCAGCGGCCGGGTGCGGCCCAGTCCCGGCTAAAGGTGCTGGAACCAGCCCGGCTAAAGCGGCCAGAACCACCCGGGCTAAAGCGGCCAGAACCACCCCGGCTAAGGGTGATGGAACCAGCCCGGCTAAAGCGGCCAGAACCACCCCGGCTAAAGCGGCCCCAATCCCGGCTAAAGGTGATGGAACCAGCCCGGCTAAAGCGGCCAGAACCACCCGGGCTAAAGCGGCCCCAATCCCGGCTAAAGGGGCCAGAACCACCCCGGCTGAAGGGACCTCAATCCTGGCTAAAGGGGCCAGAACCACCCGGGCTAAAGCGGCCCCAATCCCAGCTAAAGGTGCTGGAACCAGCCCGGCTAAAGCGGCCAGAACCACCCCGGCTAAAGCGGCCCCAATCCCGGCTAAAGGGGCCAGAACCACCCCGGCTAAAGAGGCCAGAACCACCCCGGCTAAAGCGGCCCCAATCCCGGCTAAAGGGGCCAGAACCACCCCGGCTAAAGAGGCCAGAACCACCCGGGCTAAAGCGGCCCCAATCCCGGCTAAAGGTGATGGAACCAGCCCGGCTAAAGCGGCCAGAACCACCCGGGATAAAGCGGCCCCAATCCCGGCTAAAGGGGCCAGAACCACCCCGGCTGAAGGGACCTCAATCCTGGCTAAAGGGGCCAGAACCACCCGGGCTAAAGCGGCCCCAATCCCAGGTAAAGGTGCTGGAACCAGCCCGGCTAAAGCTGCCAGAACTACCCCGGCTAAAGCGGCCTCAGTCCCGGTTGACGGGGCCAGAACCATGCCGGTAAAGGGGCCTTAATCCCGGCTAAAACTGCCAGAACTACCCGGGTTAAAGGGGCCAGAACCATCCCGGTGAAGGGGCCTTAATCCCAGCTACAGCTGCCAGAACCACCCAGGCAAAAGCTGCCAGAACCACCCCGGTAAAGGGGCCAGAATCACCCCGATACAGGGGCCAGAATCACGCCGGCTAAAGCAGCCCCAATCCCGGCTGAAGGGGCCAGAACCACCCCGGTAAAGGGACCAGAATCACCTCGGCTAAAGCTTCCAGAACCACCCCGGCCCCTTCCAGCTGCCCCATGCCGAGGGGAACAACCCGAGAAAAGCCAGGCACGTACCTCAGCGCCAAGGCAGAGCCGAGGATCCCCAGAGCCACAAGCCCAGCGCTGCGCCCGCCGCCGTCCCTCCTCCATCCCCACAGCGGCGCCCGGGCGGGCGGAGAACAGCGGGTGACGCTGGGCACCGGGGCTGAGATCCGCCTTTATCCCGGCACCTCCCGGTGTGGCTGTAGCAAACCCCCTTGCCCTGAGCCGGGCCGTGTCCCCGCCGCCGCCGCGTCCCCGCGGTGCTGCTGCCGCAGCCGCAGCTCGGCCCCGGGGCCGCCCCGCCTGCGCTCCCGAGGGCAGCCGGGAGCCGTAGTTCCGCTCCGGGCGCTCCGACTACAACTCCCGGGAGCCCGCGGGGAGCCCACGGGGAGCCCAAGGGGAGCCCCAGGCCCGTCTCGGCTCGGGGGGGAGGGGGAAGGTTCGGGGCAGTGCCCGGTTTGCCCGGGCGGAGCGGCCGCGCAGCCCGCAGGAGAGGATGGGGAGTGTGAGGGAGGGATGCTCGTGGGTCGCGTGTTTGGGGTGTTTAGGATCACTAGTCCAACAAGTGCTCGGTTTAGGGGGGCTGGATGCTAAAAGAGCGGGTTTAGGTTGGATATTCGGGTGGAATTCTGCACTATGGAGGTCTCCCAAGGGGAGCCCCAGGCCCGTCTCGGCTCGGGGGTGAGGGGAAGGTTCGGGGCCGTGCCCGGTTTGCCCGGGCGGAGCGGAGCCCGCAGGAGCGGACGGGGAGGGATGGGGGAGAGATGCCCGTGGGTTGCGTGTTTGGGGTGTTTAGGATCACTAGGAGCCGGGCCGTGTCCCCGGCGCCTGGCCGCGTCCCCGCGGCCGCCGCGTCCCCGCGGTGCTGCTGCCGCAGCCGCAGCTCGGCCCCGGGGCCGCCCCGCCTGCGCTCCCGAGGGCAGCCGGGAGCCGTAGTTCCGCTCCGGGCGCTCCGACTACAACTCCCGGGAGCCCGCGGGGAGCCCACGGGGAGCCCAAGGGGAGCCCCAGGCCCGTCTCGGCTCGGGCGTGAGGGGGAAGGTTCGGGGCAGTGCCCGGTTTGCCCGGGCGGAGCGGCCGCGCAGCCCGCAGGAGAGGATGGGGAGTGTGAGGGAGGGATGCTCGTGGGTCGCGTGTTTGGGGTGTTTAGGATCACTAGTCCAACAAGTGCTCGGTTTAGGGGGGCTGGATGCTAAAAGAGCGGGTTTAGGTTGGATATTCGGATGGAATTCTGCACTATGGAGGTCTCCCAAGGGGAGCCCCAGGCCCGTCTCGGCTCGGGGGTGAGGGGAAGGGTCGGGGCCGTGCCCGGTTTGCCCGGGCGGAGCGGAGCCCGCAGGAGCGGACGGGGAGGGATGGGGGAGAGATGCCCGTGGGTTGCGTGTTTGGGGTGTTTAGGATCACTAGTCCAACAAGTGCTCGGTTTAGGGGGGTTTAGGTTGGATATTCGGGTGGAATTCTGCACTGTGAAGGTCTCCCACGGGGAGCCCCAGGCCCGTCTCGGCTCGGGCGTGAGGGGAAGGGTCGGGGCCGTGCCCGGTTTGTCCGGGCGGAGCGGGAGGGGACGGGGAGGGATGCTCGTGGGTTGTGTGTTTGGGGTGTTTAGGATCACTCAGTCCAACAAGTGCTCGGTTTAGGGAGGTTGGATGCTAAAAGAGCGGGTTTAGGTTGGATATTCGGGGGGAATTCTGCACTGTGAGGGGGTGAGGCGCTGGGAGAGGTCGCTCAGGGGAGGTGTAGATCACCCATCCCTGGAAGTGTTCAATGCCAGGGCTTGGAGCAAGCTGGGATCCTGGAAGGTGTTCCTGCCCACGGCACAGGGTGGAACGAGGTGATCCTCAAGGTCCCCGTCCAACCCAAACTGTTCTGTGGTTCCGTGAAGGGAATTCGTGTCTTTGTTCAGCAGGAGGGCTTTGAAATCCTCCTCCTGTCCCAGCCTTGTGCCTGGGATGAGATCCTGCGTGGCTGAAGTGTCACCACAGGTGAATTTAAACACCTGGATCGTGGAATTGGTTGGGTTGGAGGCCACCTTAAAGATCTCCAGCCCCCTGTTGTGGACAGGGACACCTTCCACTAGGCCAGGGTGCTCCATCCAGCCTGGCCTTGAACCTGAAAGCATAGGACTACTGCTTTTATAATTACCTTCAGAGGCAATTTAGGAGTTTGTGTCACGTGTGTGATGCTAGCAGTGATGACAGTGTTCATGTGACTCTCTCCTGTCAGGTGAAGACACACCAACTCCGCTGACTTTGCCCCTGCTGAGCTCAGAGACACCCAAGTGAGGCAAAACCTTGCCAGCTTTAATGCCCTGTACTCTCCTGTCAGGTGAAGACACACCAACTCTGCTGTATTTGGCCCTGCTGAGCTCAGAGACACCTTGAAAACTCTGGTTAATGAGGTAAAACCTTGGTAGCATTAATGCCCTGCACTCTCCTGTCAGGTGAAGACACAAACCCCACTGAATTTGGCCCTGCTGAGCTCAGAGACACCTTGAAAACTCTGGTTAATGAGGTAAAACCTTGGTAGCTTTAATGCCTTGCACTCTCCTGTCAGGTGAAGACACAAACCCCACTGAATTTGGCCCTGCTGAGCTCAGAGACACCTTGAAAACTCTGGTTAATGAGGTAAAACCTTGGTAGCATTAATGCCCTGCACTCTCCTGTCAGGTGAAGACACAAACCCCACTGAATTTGGCCCTGCTGAGCTCAGAGACACCTTGAAAACTCTGGTTAATGAGGTAAAACCTTGGTAGCATTAATGCCCTGCACTCTCCTGTCAGGTGAAGACACAAACCCCACTGAATTTGGCCCTGCTGAGCTCAGAGACACCTTGAAAACTCTGGTTAATGAGGTAAAACCTTGGTAGCATTAATGCCCTGCACTCTCCTGTCAGGTGAAGACACAAACCCCACTGAATTTGGCCCTGCTGAGCTCAGAGACACCTTGAAAACTCTGGTTAATGAGGTAAAACCTTGGTAGCATTAATGCCCTGCACTCTCCTGTCAGGTGAAGACACAAACCCCACTGAATTTGGCCCTGCTGAGCTCAGAGACACCTTGAAAACTCTGGTTAATGAGGTAAAACCTTGGTAGCATTAATGCCCTGCACTCTCCTGTCAGGTGAAGACACAAACCCCACTGAATTTGGCCCTGCTGAGCTCAGAGACACCTTGAAAACTCTGGTTAATGAGGTAAAACCTTGGTAGCATTAATGCCCTGCACTCTCCTGTCAGGTGAAGACACAAACCCCACTGAATTTGGCCCTGCTGAGCTCAGAGACACCTTGAAAACTCTGGTTAATGAGGTAAAACCTTGGTAGCATTAATGCCCTGCACTCTCCTGTCAGGTGAAGACACCAACCCCACTGAATTTGGCCCTGCTGAGCTCAGAGACACCTTGAAAACTCTGGTTAATGAGGTAAAACCATGCCAGCATTAACACCCAGCAGGAATGTAGCAGCAAGGTCACCAAAAGCCATCCCTTGTGCCAGCCCAGAGCCCTGGAAGTGCAGCAGAGGGAAGAAGGACATGAGGCAGCAGCATGGCCTGGGGCTCGTGGAGGCTGAAAAGAGCAAATTTCTGAGACAGTGTCAGGGCACAGCAGCTGTCACCCTGAGTTTTGTGGCTCCAGGCTACAAAGGACCTGTCCAACAGCAAGCTTGTCACTGCCACTTGATACAAACAGGAGGACTCGGTGTCCCTTGTCCTCTGTGTTGCGTAAAAGCGATGTTGGCCAGGCCAGCTAAACACACAAAGTGGAAAAAATGTGAATTTGTGAGCGTGGGGTGAGGGAATTGATCTGCCCTGGTCCTGACACGGCTGCGTTTCTGGCCAGCCTTTGGCCAGAAGGTGAAAAGTGAGTGCTGGGGAATATTTTGGAACGTGGTCAGTGGTGTTCCCTCCCTCAGCTTGATTTTTGCCAGGAAGATTTATGTTAATCTAAATTTAAAAATTAATTAGAGGCAGGTGAGTGCAGCCAGCACCAATTGTACTACAAGATCCATTCTTAGAAGGCTCACTCAAATATTATATTTTATATATATATATTAATAATATATAAAATATATATATATAATATTACTGAGATAATTCAGGATTTACTTTTGCTTGTTCTAAATGGGAGCTTGCACATCCAGGCTCTGAGTTCTGTCAGGTTGGGGTTTTTTTTCCCCAAGCTAATTTCTCTTTAAAAAATAAAATTGAAATGTTTTAAAACTTAAAAAACCCCCTAAGATTCAAGCCTGCTTTCTTTAAAAAAGTAAAAATTAAAACCTAAATATTTGAAAATTGAAAATAATTAAAATTCAAGCTAATCTCTCTTTAAAAACAAAATTTAAAATTAAAATTGAATGTTTAAAATTAAAAAAAAGTCAAGCTTTTTTTTTTTTCAAGCTTTTAAAAATAAAATTAAAAATAAAAAATAAAATTAAAAATAAAATGGACTGTTTGCAAAGTTACCTTCTCAGGCATCATCAGCCCAAAAAGCAATGGGTCACAATGCAGCAACGAAAACTCAGCTTGGATGTTAAATAAAATTAACAAAGTTTACTGCGAGGGGCTGGAGTTACCCAGCACTGAATAATTGGGAGAAACCTCTGTTTTTTCCATGGCCCTGTCCTGGTTTTCCAAGGAAATCAGCAGGAATTGTTCTTTGCCCACTGGATGCCGCTGTTCCACAGAAATATTCATGAGCTTTTCCTTCAGCACCTTCTGGCAGCCATGGAAGCCACTCCAGGGTCAGCCAGGCTCTGTGGATTTCCTTGAAGATTTTAAAATATAAAATTATTATTTTTATTATTTCTATTTCTGTATTTATTCCATTTATTATTATTATTATTATTATTATTATTATTATTACCATTATTATTATTATTTTAAAAATTTTAAAATTATTGTATAAATAAATATAATTAAATTATATATTCTAAAATTACAAATATATTGACTATATAAGTGTAGATATTATAAAATATATAAAATATATAGAATTATAAAATTATAAAAGATAAATTAATCCCCTGCAGTGCTGTTTTACATGCTTAATAAAGGGAAAAAAATTGATTTGGAGAATCCTCTCCTTAAAAGCAGAGCCTGGAAGTGGCAGCAGGAGCCTCTGCTGTTACCTTGAGAGGCAGTGACCTGAATAAAGCAGCAAGGATGAATGTGCTCCCACTTTTCAGGGAAAAACCAATGTATTTATAGCTGAGAACAAAGCAAAGTGACCTACATCCCTCCAGTGCCCAGCTTTGGGAATTCACTTTCAGGAAATTCTGTTCCACATTTTCTTTT